GAGCCTTACGGACTTTCTTAGCCCTCTTCCTCTTGCTTTTATTGGGTACAGGGGCTATAAGTTCGGTCTCGCTTTGGACGGCTTCCAGTACGACATCAGAGGCCTCTTTAGAGGCATTCTGGACCGCTGGGACTCACGACACGGTAGCCATCACCTCAGTCGGATTTTCATCGACAGCAATTGAGGTTAATTGCGTGTCTTCCTTTAATGAGCCGACATCAATAGAGACTTCCGTATTCCTCATCAGTAACTCCACTTCCCGATCAAGAGATATGAGGAAAGACCACAACTGCTGGTTGCCCAGCCCGACGTTGCTCGATGTCTCCTCATTGACCTCAAGGAGCGCAGATCGACGGCGACGGTATAGAAGACAAGTGAACAGCATGCTATCGCTAGTCGAAAGCATTGCGTACTGATCAGGGCTCAAATTGGTACAGGTCTCATGGTACCAGCAGTTGCATGCATAGCACTGCATGCCACCAGACTCGTCCGTCAGGGGCTTTGATCAGCTGTTTCTGCCGCATACGGCATTAGATTCGCTGATCAACGCAGCCGAAGACACATTAGCGCCTATATTCCGTGACTCCGACATGACGCTTTCAAAGTGTGAAACAAGTTTCAACACGTAAAACCGACAAGCTGTTACTTGCAGGGCAGTCGTCAGCAACAGTTACGGGTTAAAACAAGGTGCAAAACGGATTACAAAACACAAAAATACCGGAAGAAAAACCAGTGGCTGAACTCGAAAAAGATGGACGACGTTTGGTAAGTACCCGAAAACGGGTACGACGTAATCCGGGGAAAACGATGATGCAAAATTATTTGGATCAAGCGAAATTTGACACAAGTGAAATTTTTTGCACTACACTTGTAAACACTGTTCCGCAACTGTCCTTTGAAAGTAAAAACTCAAAAAGACAGCACGCTCAAAAATTTCAATTTACCGCCAAGGAGGAGGAAACCGAAGGGAGTCCATTTCTGTACAATTATATCATTGCCACCTCCCCGCCGCCTTGCGGAAAGGCTTTTGCTCCAAATACTTTGGTTGAGGAACCTAATCGTCCTCCTGTCTAGGTCTGGGCGTCCTTGCAGTATCTCAGCCACATATAACCATATCATGACAATTTCCTCAAGATTCAACTACATCCTTCATCGACCGTCGCGCAGCTCATCAAGTGTCGTTTTATCCGCTGCATGCAGCAGGGTGGTTAAGCGAAAACATACTACTGCTGACGCCCCCTTCCTTTTCCACCCGTTTCTCTTACTCCTATCCCGACCCGCATTATTAACCTTCCTTATATACTTCCCAGCTTAAATGACAGCAACCGAAGTGCCACAAATCGAACCATCTGCAGCGACCTTCTAGCATCATCCACTGGACGCTTATCGGCAACAGTTCCTTATTCGACCATGCTTTCCCGTTTCGTTGGTGGCGTTCAACATTCGCAATCTAAGGCAAATGAGTCAAGAGGCTGCACTCGCACACACGTTGGACACGCTAGGTATTTACATGTTTTGTATCCGAAACTAGGATCAATGGGTCTCGCGAGATTTTTGAATTAACTTCGCGCGGCTTATCCTCTCGCTCTTGGTTGCTCGCATCCGGAGACGCTGATGCAGCATTCACGAGTCAAGCTGGGGTAGGTATCATACTCAATTCTAAGGCTAAGTTTTCTTTGGTTGACTGGATTCCGGTGAACAGCCGTTTGTATGCAGTCTACTTGACGACATCAGCTCAGCTTAATTCACGAAGTAGTACAAAACGCCGGTTGTTTGGAAATTTTGCTTTTGATTCTACCGACTACAGTTCTGATGCTGCCAAGGACACATTCTACTACGATCTGAACACGCTAATACGCAGTGCTACCAGTTTAGATATCATAATACTTGCAGGGGTATAACTGCACAAATGCGGCGCCTGCGCTTTTCAAAAACAGCTAGGTAGCAGTTAGGGGCTTAGTTCCGAACGGACTGCGAGCGGCAAGCGTCTGCTGCAACTGTGTACGGAGCACCAGCTTTTTCTTACTAACGCTGCTTTCAGACACAGTGGACGTTTAAATGCCGCTTGGCGTCCTCCTGTAGCTGAACAGCGATAGGTCCAAATAGATCAAATTGCTATAAGTTACGAGGGGGGTGTTTCCATCCTGGATTACCGCTCGTACTGGAGTACCTGCGTCGACTCTGATCATGCCTTGGTACGCTGTCATTTCTCCATAAAATTTAGCGGAAGGCACACCAAGCGTCTCCTCCGTTTGGCAACTGAGAAATTATCCCAGCCTTTGGACAAACAAACCTACCAAGCTACACTACGTACCGAACTTTCGCTCCCTTGTCCTAATGACACAACTGCAGTGGAATAGGATCTTGGCCGCCATGCACAGCGCAGAAGCATCTGATTGTGATACTATCAGTCGTCACCGCACCAGTCACTGGATATCTACGAGGTCGATGAGTCTGTTGGAATCTAGAAGAAAACTCTCGGCTGGCTCTGAGCACAATGTGACTAGACGGACCATTGAGCGCGAACTAAAACAGAGCCCGCATACTGATAGGAAGCTTGGTGGACTACTCGAACTCAAGAACTGGTGGAGGCGGGAGCACTAGGGTAATGTCGCAGGATTTTCCAGCTGTTCTGAACCACTGATCCCAGAAAACCAGGCGTCAATGGAAATCCGAGACAGCGCGGATGTTCTGATTTACCATAAGGAGCGCTGTCTGGCTTGTTGCGCGGAACACTCAAGATCAGTTCCGTTGCCCCACCCTGCTTCCGGACCTCTTCCTACCCAGGATAATCAAACGAGCCATGGACGGTTAGTTTAGAGCCTCCGTCGGAGGCTGTGATCCGAAACGCGATCATAACCCTCAATCATTTTTGTACTGCTTTTCCGGATTCCCTACCAACTGCACTAAGTATAGAGATGAGGTCCTCTGCAAAACACTGACCTTCCTTAGCGAACACGCGTGGATGGAGGAAACCGTCCCGGCTAACTGGAGTGAATCGATTATAGTAGCTATTTACAAGAAGGGCACTCGCAACAACTGTGCTACTCACCTGGTATAAGTCTAACGCCAGTTGTAACGAAATTGCTGACCTCCATTTTCGTTTGTCGCCTGACTGCGAGATGGCAATCCCGGATTAGGGAAGAGCAGAGAGGCTTCCTCCCTGGACGTGGCTTTATAGACCATATATTCACTCTGCGACAGGTGCTAGAGCAGCACCACGCATACCACAGACCGACACTAGCTGTGTTCCTCGATTTCAAGAGTGCGTTCAATTCCGTCGATCCATGCATTCTGTTCGAAACACTTGCGCGGAAAGGTGTTCCCATTAAATATGTGAACATTTTACGTGCACTGTACTCGAACACTACAGACCGCGTCTGTGTGAGTCTACGGTGACCTGTCGGATAGCTTTCCGACAGCAAGTGACTTTAGTCAGGGTCGTCCGGTTTCCCCGTTTTTGTTCAGTTTCGCTGTCAACTCTGTCATTGAGTGTTCCTTGCGGATTCTCATGATGCAGGCGTTGAAGTGCTGCCTGGTGAAAGGTTAGTTGATCTTGGTTTTGCGGACGATATCGTCTTGCTATTTAACATTGTTGGGGCGGCGCTGTAAACCATAATTAGCCTCTCTAGAGTGGTTCCATTATTTGGTATGCGCTTCTCACTTTCAAAATGCAGTGTTGCTTCAGGACCACCAGCCACTTGATGGTCCATTGATCCTAGATAGCAAGGAACTCGAGGTAGTTCATCAATTCACTTACCTTGGCAGCGGTATCAACAACGATGCTCGCATAGCAACTTAAGCCGGTTCACGTATTGCAAAAGACAGAACTGCCTTGTATTTGCGACATCTTTGGCGACGGAGACCGTGTTTACAAGGTCACAGTGAGGGCTGTCCTACTCTATGGGAGTGAGACGGTCCCTTCGGTCGGAAGATCTGAGGCGCCTTCAAGTCTTTGAGCATCTCTGTCTGCAGAACATTGCTGGTGTCGGCTGGCATTAACGTGTCGGCAACGATGATGTGCGTAGGCGAGTGCTAGGCAGTGATACTCCTGCTAGTACCTTAGAACAACAGGAAGCACTGAATAATTTGCGTTGGCTTGAGCACTGTGATCGCTTACCGAGCAGGGGCTTGTCTTGTTTGTTAGATGTAGGATGACTCAAGGCTCGAGGTGGACAGAACTTGACTTGGAAGCACGAAGTGAATTCACTGACGACCAAACTGGGTGCCGTCAGTCCATCTCGCCTTCCAGGCTGGACTCCACGTGACCCGCTTTGTACTTGGCTCGAGACTTTACGGAACTGCTCACAGTCGACACTAGTGGCGTGTCTGCTGTCGTCTCCTAATCGGACTGCCTTTTTCAATTGGGTTATCTGTCTGGTACTGGCTGATTATGCCGCGGGGCAGTGAAAGCCGCAAGGAGCTGTTTCGCGATGTCGCTTTATCTTTGTACGGAGGCCAACTGTTTCTGATGGTTTGTTGACAACGTGTAGGCACCTTGCCCCTGAATGTTTGCTTACAGCATTATGGTTTTTCCTTAAGTCATTTTCTACCTCTTATTATTCGCTTCGTTGGTCGTTATAGTTGTATTTCAGCGGTATCCGTTCAAATGGCTGATGTTGATGCTGATGTTCGATGGAATCAGCTAATATTGATACCCGAAGTAGTAGACCATTCGTTTGTGGTCTGCGCTTATGCCCACCAACTTTAGTTTTGATGCTTAAAGGACACTATCTATCACTAGCTGAGCACACTGCATCGTGACGTTGTCAGTGCAGATATCGTCGTTGCACGGGATATGAATGTAAGTCACCTTAGCTTTTCGAAAGCTCAGCTGGGCTTAACTGCTACCAGACGAGACACGGCGAGCGTCTGTTGAAACTGTGAGCGGTGCGGCGGTTGCTTTTCAGTAGCACCGCTTTTAAACACATTGGACGCGAAGGTATCCTTTGGCTTCTTCCCATAGTCAAGCAACTGTATAAATTTTATCCATTTACACAGATCCGTTTGCTTTTGTGTGCAAATGCATCACCGGAGCTCTGCTACCTATTTGAGATGGATGAAATCACTAACAGTCCTCTCTATTCTTTCTGGGATCGCTTTTGGCTACTTCGCCTCATTGCTATCACGTAAGTGTGCCTAATAATATTAAATCGTTTTAGCTACTGATGCATGCCGCTCACTGCTCAGCAACGGGTTTATAAATTCCGATGGGATGTGGTACCCATCTGATTGCATGATTAGAAACTACCATCCAAAGTAAGCCTACCAATCCTTAAATCGAGTTTTCCAGCGATATCCTCAGTTGTGCTAGGGTTCTTCCTAGCACAATTTTTTTCATCGGCGATTCAAATCTTCTGCCAATTTTTCGTAGCGTCGCTTTAGCTTCTTACGAGGGCGAATTTTCTGAGCAGCTTGGGACAGAGGAGATGGACACCAGCCCTATCGAATATGTGCAGGGCCCGCTGCGTTTAGTGAGTGTCCTTTACTTTATGCTGCTGCTCGTTTATGTTCAAATGCCAAATGCATTGAGTCACCGAACCATGCAGAGTACAGCAACCGCTCTTTGGCAAGTGCGAGCGGTCGATTGACCATTTTCTATACCACTGTTAATTGGAATACGTACGACTAATGCGATCACTGTTGGGGACACGATTCTTCGTCTCTCACCGCCTATAAAGTTCTGATTGGCGGTTTGAAAGCTGATTCAGAGTTAATGTCTATCCAACTAGCGACAGTCGATTCCTTCAATTGTATACCAGCTGCCTTCACAAACGGCCGCATCTCATCGTCTACTTCCCACCGAATCATACACTGTCTTGTTCTCAGGTTACCCACGTTGTGGTCAATTGCAGTCGGCACACTACTCCTGATATGCCGACCTATCTTTCGCACATGTCTAATTTCAAAGCGTACTCAGAATTTCCAACTAACTTAGTTCATTTCAGTCATCCAACCATGTTCCACTTACCTAAGATCGGTGGATCCAGCTGCCCTGATCCACGAAGCTGTAGGGACAAGGGTACGAATTGAAAGGAAAACGCAAGACTAATAAAAAACAAAAAATAAGAAAATTAGTACTGCTTATCAAGAGATGCTGATCCGAATTAAATGTCCTCCGCCTCATGGTAGTGCCGTATTAGTTGTTAGCTCTAACTGTCACATTGTTTTGCTTTGCAAACCATCAGCTTTAATCCTAGCGAGGGGAATTAGGCCAATGCTCTCATAACAACATCATATGTTTATAGGAATCTATCCAATACTGTCAGATGCAATGCTGCTCTCAACGAAACGCCTTGTCATTGGAACGCCGCCATCTGTTTTTATTCTAACTTTTCATGTAGTTGCGGTTACTTAGTGTAGCGCATTATGTAGCTTCACTGCTTAGAGCTGTGGAAGATGGTTAGATCGTCATTGATAGGTGAGGTTGCTTGTGGTGGCATTTTCGATTATTTTCCGCTCTCTATATTTTTACTGCACATCTTTTCCTCTTTTTACTCGCACTCTCATTGTCCTCCTTTTACTAGTGTTTCTTTAAGGAATCGTTTCTTGGAGATTCGTTCGAATTGTTGCTGGCATTGTGGGCGAACGGTGAAGACTCCTGGGGCCATCGTGCACTGAATTTCACGGTTCAGAGAAATTCATGTCTATCCTCCTCTCCCACTCTTGTACTTGTTGGACTTGGTGTGGTAAGATTACGGGAACAATGGTTTCTCTTCATTATGGCTGCCGTTTATTTCCTCGCATATTTGCCACCGGATTTCCTTTTCGATTTTTTCTTGTCCCTCGCTATTGTAGCTTTCTTGTTTGCGGAAAATAAGCAATATACTCTTGCTTGACAAATACCGAGCGTTATTATGAGATCAATCAGAAATTCAAGTCCGAAACTATATCAAAATGTTGTGAAAACGTTAAAAAAGTGTCACCTGAAAGTAGCAAACCTGTCCTTTTATTTCTCATGTATTATGTGAAGATATTTGATTCACGATACCACTGGGCTCACAGATGTGAATGTGTTTATCAACCCGCACTTATTCTTTGACTATAATGGCGACGAACTCTAAATCCAGCGGGTTTTGGAACTAAAGGATGTTTTAGTAATCATGTCCAGAACAAGGAGCGGCTGCACTCAGGTACTGACGTACCCCGGTATGCTGAATTTCTAACTGTCCAATGGCGCAAATTGCTTTGCCAGCTGGGATGAGATTGGGCACAGAAGCGCGACATGTGTGTCTACCATCGCAGGGCTCACCGAGCTGTCCGGCTGTGAGAAGTAAACATCAGCAAACACCGCAGCCGCAATCGACCTGTCATGCGTGGATCGCAGGGCGAGGCCAAAAGAATGCAGACCGTTCGGCTGTGAGAACTGGACGTGAGCCAGACACCACAACCGCACTGAACGTGTCATGCTTCGATCGATCGGTAGTCGGCCTTCACGCAGATGAAAAAGCCAGCAAAAGTGTTCCCTGCGAAGGGATTAGTGGGTCACTGTGCTAGCAGTTGGGAAAAACAGCCTGGCCATATGTGGTAACCGGTCGATGGGCGCCGTATTGTTATCGCCATAAAAGCTGTTATCGCCTCATGACTGACTTCCAACAAACCCGTAAGCTTTTATTAGGATGCTTTCGCTGCTAAAGGGAATCATACTGCCGGGAGCACATTGTAAGGTTTCAGTGCTGTTCGCCTTACCATTTCGATCGCGTGTGTGTCAGCTGAAAATTCACCCTTCATGGGTGTACAAAAACGAGTACTTGTTTTGACTTGACGTAACAATGCTCTTAGATTTTAGTCTGCCCAGACGCACTGGTGGCACCATTAGGCAGCACACCAATTTAGTCATGAACGCAACTATTGCCCTCACAGTCAGACAATTACTATTTGAGCACTCAGCCATTGAGTGCGACGTCCGAGATGATTATCTCAAACTTTCGCCACATCTCTCTGTCGTTCGACGTCTGGACGCTCAGGAGCAACGAAACGGCACAGATCAACACACTCCATCGCGATGAGACTAGACTTCAACGTGTTGCGATGGTTCGTGCGCCTCAGTGATCCATTGAGCTATGCTGGATGGTGTTCTCTGCACCCTCAGAGCTACTCATACCAGATTTGTCGATGGTTAGAGGCCAAACAAACTCAGTATCCTGGCACTCCAGGTTGGGGGGGGGGGGAGATTGGAGTGAAGGTGGCTCCTTACTCCATAAAACAGGCTTTCTGTACCCCAGTGTCAAAACCCCGCTGCATTGCGGTCAGCATTTAAACCAAATGTTTTGTTTGAGAACCCTAATCTTTCTCATTTCTAGGTCTGGGCCACCTGACAGTATCCTGCCTACGCAATACACCATGACTTTTCCTTCTAACAATTTCTTGATGCTCTATCCGTCGCAGAGGATAATAAACGGCGCCCTATCTGCTGCATCAAGCAGGGTGGATGTGTGTTTGAATGCTATCACTCAAGCCTTCCTGTCTTCTTATTCCCTTCTTGCGTTTTTTTCATCTTTGTCGTCCCACTCCAACTTCGCTTTTATCCCCTCTCCGTTTTTAATCCTCCCAATTCTTGGCCTTCCCTCATCTTGTCTCAATAGTTGCTTGTCTTCTAGTATCAACACACACAATAGCACGGCGTCGCTCCGGTTCAGTCGACAAGTCCATGTTCAACCAAGTAGACGTCAGTACATTCCTTTTTCTTTGGAATCCTCGTTTCTCGCTAAGACTGGCATACCTCAACGTGCGCACTTGGCTACAGATTGACCAACAGGCAGCACTTGCCCGAACCCTCAAGACCCTATCGATCGCTATTTGCTGTTTATCGGAAACCCGCCTGCAAGATTCAAGCTCCGTATATACCCTGTGTTCCCCCACACGCGACACTGGTGACATTCTCATTGCGCCTGTCTAGAAACGACGCAGCTTCTAATGTCGGTGAAGCCGGCGTGGGCATTGTTTTGAGTCCCCGGACTTAAGCTGTTTTGGTCGACTGGGTCCAAATCAACAGCCAGATGTGCGTCGTTAGATTGACTGGCTCGTTCCAGGCTTTGAACTCGCGCAGGGACGGACGATGTCTGTTTGTCATTGTGGCTTATGCCCTTACAAACTGCAGCCCTGATTCGGTGAAAGATGATTTCTCTCACTAACTTAACGATCTCCTTTGTTACAGAAGAAGCACGGATACTGTGGTGCTGGTTGGTGATCTAAACACCCAAGTGGGAAATTCTCCTCTGGTGAGCTTCATCTGGACGGCCATCATGTGTAAGTTTTCGTAATCATAACGGTGAGCGGTTGCTACACCTATGTGACGATGCTCGTCTCTTTCTCGCGAGCACTAACTTCAGACACAGCATACGCCGGAGGGTGACATGGCGCCTACTAACCTCGGACCAGCCAGGGACGCAGTGGATCACATCGCACTTACTTACGGCAGGAGAGGCTGAGTCCAGATCTGTCGCTCGATTTGGAGCACGATCGTTGGATTCCGATCACGCGCTTATGTATACCGACCTTCGGGTGCGTTTCGGCGGACGTCCACAATATTGCTCTGGGTGCGTAGACACTAGCCAATTGGCTAAGCCAGGTATTCAGAATGTATGTCAAACTACGTTGGCATTCGGGCTGAGTAAGCGGCCAGTGAACGCCGTTGATGATCGCTGGTTGCATACTTGCCAAACGTTACCATCAGCAGGCAAATCTTCGTGTGGCAAATCAAAATGCCAACCTGGACATTGGGTCTCTACACAGTTTCTGGAACTTCTGGATTCTCACCGATGTATCCCGATTGGAAGTGAACATAATGGGACTCGCAAAATATCTCAGGGCAAAACTGCGTGTTAGTCTAAGGATAGACTACGAAGCCTGGTGCTCTCATCGTGCATCGGAAATGGAGACAGCCGCTGCTGTTGGTAATCATCGTAAGTTATTTCGTCTGATATGGGTATCAGACAGCATGCGAACTGGTGTTAGCGAGACAATACGCGACAAGAGTGGACAGCCGGTCTACAGCTTTTCGAAACGCTTGGAGCATTGGATCGAACTCTTTGCATTGCAGTTTAACCAATCTGAGTTCGCTTACTTTTTCGGGCATTGAGCGCCCTTCTCTATCGGTCGGCTTCTTAGATCCGTCCTCACGCGTAGAAGTCGTACGTGTGATCAGGTTGTTCGAATTGCGTAAGGCCGCAGGGGCAGATGGAATTTCTCCAGCTTTCTTCTAATTCGAGGGACCTGCTCTTGTAGACGTTTTCCACTTGCTGCTGGTGAAACTTTGGGGATAGCATACTGTCCCGACAGACTTTAGCCATTCAGTCGTAGTCCGAATTTTCAGTTGAGGCTTACATTCGAAATGAGACAATCATTGAACCATCTGTCTGATCTCAATTGCCTTTAAATTGCTTGCGCCTGTCGTTCTCCATAGACGCGCTCGTGAAAGCCAGATCTGAGAAGAACAAGCCGGGTTTCATCGAGGTCCATACTGCATCGACCACATCTTCACTTCGCGCCAATTGTTGGAGCACTGCCATGTTTATTGGCTACCCACCGTAATCGTGTTTCTCGAGATCAAAACTGCCTTCGATTCGGCTGATGGATGTGCCCTTTGGGACTGTCTACTCAGGGAACATGTGCCCGAAAAACACGTAAACCTTATCAGAGCGCTGTACGCGCTCTCTAACGGTTTGAGACAAGGTTGCCCGCTGTCACCTTTTTTTTAACGTCGCTATTGATGAAGTCATGAAAACAGTGTTCGCTGGACACGACCCAGAAGGTGTGGAACTACTTCCTAGTGAGCGACTTCTTGGCTTTAAGTATGCTGACGACATTAACCTCATCTGTGACTGCTCCCAAACGGGCCAAGCAGCACTGGACTAATTAGCACTGGCTGCCAATCATTTTACGCTGTGATTCGCTCCATCGAAATGCAAAGTACTATTCCAAGATTGGCCGGAACCCAATCCTGTGCTGACAGTTGGAGGTGATCAGCTATAATTCGTCCATGAATTCAAGTACCTGGGCAGCTTTATGAGCCCCCGTGGTAGCGAAGGTGAGATTACGAACCGTATAGCAAACGCTCGATGCGCTTTTGCCAATGTCCGCCACTTGTGGCGCAGACATGCTATCACTCTGATCTTGCAGGGCAGTTTATAATGCTGCCGTGCATTCAACTCTCGCATGCCGTTGTGAAACTTGGCCCATCAAGTTGACAGATATAAATAGGCTAGTCACGTTCGACCATCGCTGTCTTCGCAGCTTAGCTCATGTCTGGTGAGAACACCGCGTGGGTAATGAGCGTGTTCGGCGTCGCGTATTTGGTGCAGGAATAGCTCGTGAATTGCTCAGGACCATTATCTCACACATCAGGCTCCGATGGCTAGTCCACGGGCTGCTCATGCCAGTACATCAACTCCCGCGATGTGCATTGTTTGCGCGCCGGGGGTGCGGTTGGAAGAGGAGGGTGAGAGGATACCAAGCTATGACTTGGTCGAGAGAAATGAAAACCCTCATTTCGAAGTTGGCGTCGGTTGGTGCATGTCACCTGCCTGGCTGGGATCCTAAAGAGGATGAACACGTTTGGTTGGACACACTTGCCGATATGGCGATTGCGTTGGGAGTTTCTTAGTCCACTCCCTCCCTTTTGGATTTCCCTATACAATTGCGATCTCATACGAATTCCTTGTTATAATATTTAACCTTACGTTACTTGCTTTTGAGTTTTTTAATGTAACTTTTTGTATCTTACCTTTTGTATTCCGGTACATTAGCTGAGGTGTGTTTCTCACCCTCAACTAACGTGGATTAATTGGTTGATTGATTAATCAGCACACTTGTTCCTAAGGCTGTGGACTTTGCTACATGCTAGACACAGACTGCAATAGGAAACACTTGAAGTGGTTGCAATCTGAGCGATTTCTTATTCTGATAAGGGGAGTCTTTTAAACCACCCGCAAATTTACATCGCAAAGGTTTGTTTCTTCTTCAGTAGTGGGCCTTTACAATATTCCGTGCGTGCATGTAGCCTCACAGCTTTATTGTCTGAAGCAGTCACCAACCGACTCATTGTAAAGCCCTCGGGTTAGTTTTAAACCACAGTATTTTCTGCTGAATCTCCACCATGTTGTTCTGGTTGCTCACAACGTGCTAGTCACCGGTTCGTTTTATTATTTTTTAATCGGTTGGTATTTCAGTGGTTTTGTTATTTCTTTCGCTTATTGCACACGGTAGGAGTTGAGTCGAATTTATCTATCCTGCTCCGGATCCGCATGCTAACCTCTACTGGCTAGAATATCCAACCAACTACTTGAGATAAGATCTTGTCAGACATCTAAACTGCATGGTCTCCTATAATCTACACGACCACACCTTCATATTCCAATCTACATGAGGAGATTCGGTGTCAGCCATGTCTTTATGCGCAGAACTGAGCAGTCTGGCTTACGGTGATATTTGGATTTTGTGGCTGTTTGTCCCATGTGTAATAAATGCATACTGCGGGTCGTTGGACTGGGTCCTACTTCCAGCAACTAATATACTTGAAACCCATCCCTTCTAAAATCGCTCTTGAACATAACGTTAGGTCTATTCAATGTTAGCTTCTTCATCCCTCTCATTCGTGCTTACTTTCTAAAGTGCACTCTGTACAATGTCTTATCGTAAGCTACTGTAGCAGCCTCAACTTCATTTTTTCAATTGATATATCCCATCTTCTATCCCATGTCACTTTACGTTCGCACTCGGCACTTTCTACTATCTGCATTTGTCCCAGCTATGTCACCCTGCTTTCCCTCCACATCTCCATCTTTGTTTCCTTTTCCTTCGGTTAACAGGAAGACCTTTACATCACGGACATCTTCCGTACTTTTGTACAATACACAAGTGAGTCTATACGATGTCAGAATTTATTTTTATCTTATCCTTCTCTTCTGTACCGTAGATCACCTGGAAAACATTGCCACCAACTTCAGAAACTCGAAGAAACCGCATTTTATTTGGCTGTTGCAAGGTACGCGAAGTGCAGTTCTCAACCTGGTTAACCGACTGGTCATGCGAAACATGAAATGTCTCGTCCGTTACGTGTGGTCTTACTTCAGTTTCTTTACATCTCAACAGTGTTAGATTCTTGTAAGGGATTCATCCTGGTAGTTCACAAGCTACATAACACAGCCTAGTCCGGAATAGCACCAGATGCTTTTCTCCCTATTGGTGCTCGTCAGTGGTGCGCATATTCCCTGGATCCTCTACAGGGGTTCGAACTCATGACCGCTAGAGGCAGTTGCCAACTAGTAGATAATGCCCATAGGAATGTAAGAAAACACGGTTGCAAAGAGATCACTTTTCGGTAACTCACATCAGGCAAATACGTTTACAAACACAACTGGGGTACTCATAAGCCAATGAAAACTGAAGCGAAAGTAGGAGAGAGTCTGAATTTATTCGGACAGAAAGGACACTGCCGGAAGTATCAAAAGTTCCATCCTTGAACATCTGGTTCAAGGTGGACACGAAATTCTGACCAATGATGCTTTCAACGTTTTCTACACCGTGTCAAAACGATATCCTAAGGGGATTAAGAGACGCCTCCTTAAGATTGCAGAATCGACAGCGATCAAGTTAACGCAACCGGAGCTTTGCAAGCAGAGGATGCTACTACAATATCTCACGTTGCCATGGCCGTGATAAGGATCTATCCGCATGGAACATTGATGAGATCAAATGTGGCATCACTTCCTTGCTGACCCAATTTGTTTCCTGAAGTGGTTAGCGAACTGTGTCAAATGGGGTCAGATAAGGTCAGCCTTTATCGACAACACAGGCTTTCCTAATTGGCCCGATCAATTTAACTTCCGTCGGAATAAATTCAGACTCTCTCCTACTTTCGCTTCAGCTTACATTGGCTTATGGGTATCCCAGTTGTGCTTGTAAACGTATTTGCCTGATGTGAGTTACCGAAAAGAGATCTCTTTACAACCGTCTTTTCTTAGATGCCAACTAGCCAGCATCTTAAGCCACTAAGCCATGGGGGACGTTGGCTGGGCTACATAATTTGCAAACTAACTGGGATATAGCACCACCTATCTTCCACTGTCACTGACAGTGGCTATCCTGCGAGGTGATGACGTCCTCTTACTAGACGCTATATGCATAGCACTTTGGAACTAGGAGAGGCTATTTATTTTATATATTACTCGTAAGTAGCAGGGTTTTAACTTACTATTAATACGTGGCATGACTACTTAGGTTCCGTTTATCCCCGACGTGGTTGCACATATGCCACTTATTCTTCTGGTGACACAACACTCATCTCGAACTTCGGCTTGTTTACCGGTGGCCGAGTGGTCTGCACGTTTACTTTGCAACCATAAGGTCACCGGTTCGAATCCGCGCAGGGGTGAGCGTCCTCGTGGTATACTCAGACCGCGCGCGACTGGTGGTGGTCGCGCGGCAGCGAAGCGCCGTTACGGCGTACAGCTGACACATTACTATTGTTTTTTTATATTATTAGTGGCGGTCAGTCGTGTCACGTGATCTTATTGTCCATCTCACGAGAACTCGTTTTGGTTGTAGTTTGAACACAACATATCATCGGCTCTAAACACTTGCTTCACCTCAATCCGCCTCACTACGCTATAACGTTTTCTTCTTCGTTTAAAGCCACGAACCTGTCCATAGCGTGCCGTTTTTAAAATATAAATTTTGACAATTTTAAAGACGTTTTTTATCCTTTAATTTCAGCTCACGTGACACCTTGTATTAAAACTAATCATGTTCTCATTTTTACCTTCTGCTGCTTCGCACACTTTTCCTTCATCCTCCCTCTGTTGGGTCACTCCGAAATACCCTTGGTTTCTAACAATTAGGTTCGATCAAGGAAGATTTGTTGTCAGAACATTATCATTTTGCAACAAATCGGGCCATTGACGAATATAACAAACTTGCAGAGACAATCTTGTGAGTTGTACTTACTTGCATGTTAGCTTCAGTTTCTTAACTTCATCCTAATTGCATCTTCAATTGAAACACAAAAATGATGCTTCCTGATTCAAAAAACACGATTTCTTCGTCTGATCGATGGTTACGCGAGTTTCTAGATGTTTTAAGCCGCCATATGTACCTGTAGTCGGCAGTTAACTAGCATCGAACACATACCCCGTTTTGTACGCATCACTGGATTGCGCCCGTGGTCATGGCTCATCCATTGACCTGCTTATAGTCGGTAGGACGTTTGCTAACTTTTACCCGTTATTTTCATACACCATCAATGTTTTTTGCCGTATTGTTCGTCTATGAACGTAGGAGTACATCCCATCCTAGTACACCCATCCTTGATTCACTAATACGTGTGCCTACCTTCCAAGGTTTCTCATCTTGCCACACAGGAACAGCGTGGCGCGCTAACCCGCTTAACCACTTAGACCACGCTGGGTATTGGCTGCAGGAACAGTTGTCGTTGTGTTGGCTTTGCTAGTGTGCTAAGTGCTTCGAAGGAATCCGCTCAGCAAAGTTTACTGCATAGTGAGATGGATCCTGCACATTCCATTGGCACTGAAATCATTATGGTCGCGGATACAGTTACAAAGGCTGGTCCCATGGATGTTATTTCGAATGTCTCCGAACGAAGCTACTTGGATGCCTGTTGCATAGAGATGATGTTAACAAGTTCCTTTCTTACCATTTTGCTTCCATAATATTAGAGTTAATTCCGTGACATTTCGTCGTGTTGCTGTCCAACTTCAGGATTTCCTTTGTGTGCTTTGCTTTCCTTTAATTGTAGGTTTGTACTTAGACATCTATTATCCACGTTCACAAAGAGAAGCTTTCCTTTAACCTGTGGCTTTATTGTAAAATGAATTTAAAGTACACTCTACGTTGTCTCCCGTCTGATACGGGAAACGGGCAGCAGGAGACCTGGTGTTAGTGAAACTATACGTGACGAGAGTGGACAGCCTATCCACAACTTATCAAAACGCTTAGAGCGTTGAGCTGAGCACTTTAAAAGGCAATTTAATCAGTCGGAATTGTTAGATTTCTCGCCGGCCACTGATTGTCCCACTCCCTGGGCTGTCCCTTTGGATCCACCCTCTCGCTCAGAAGTCGAACGTGAGATCGGACTGTCGGAGTTAAATAAAGCCGCGGGACCTGATGATATTCCTTCAGCCCTCTTCAAATTCGGGTGACCTGCTTTTATGGATGATTTACACGAGTTACTAGTCAAACTGTGGGAACAGAAAACTGTCCCAACCGATTGGAGCCGCTCCGTCGTAGTCTCAATTTTCAAAGGAGGCTCACGATCGGAATGCGGCAGCCATAGAGGAATCAGTCTGATCACCATCGCCTCAAAATTGCTTGCCTCTGTCATCCTTCACAGTCTGACTGGCACTCGTGAAATCCAGATTCGTGAAGAGCAAGCTGGATTTCCTCGAGGTCGTGGCTGCATTGACCACATCTTCACCTTGCGTCAGTTGTTGGAGCACCGCCACGTATATTGGCGGCCCACCATTGTCGTGTTCCTCGATATCAAAGGTGCATTCGATTCGGTGGATAGACATGCACTTTGGGACTGTCTACTCGGGAGAGGTGTGCCCGAGAAATATGTGAATTTTATCCGAGCATTATATGCTCCTAGCTCGGGCAGAGTGAGAGCTTACGGCAAGTTGCCGTCGCCGTTTAATATCTCCAGCGGCGTGAGACAAGGATGCCCACTGTCACCTTTCTTCTTCAATTTCGCTGTTGACGAAGTCATGGAAATCGCTTTTACAGGACACGACTTAGAAGGTGTAGAGCTACTCCCTGGAGAACGACTTCTTGTCTTAGGGTATGCTGATGATATTGCCCTAATCTGTGACAGCTCACAAATGTGCCAAGCGGCACTGGACAGATTAGCACTAGCTGTCCGTCACTTCGGGCTTTGCTTCGCACCCTCGAAGTGCAAAGCGTTCCTCCAAGATTAGTCTGGACCGCCTCCTACGCTGACCGTTAGTGGGGATCAGCTAGAAGTCGTTCAAAAATTCAACTACCTGGGAAGTTGTATCAGCGCCCGTGGGATTGAAGATGAGATCACGAACCGTATAGCAAAAGCTCGGGGCGCTTTTGCTAACCTTCGCCACTTATGGCGCCGGCGCGACATCACTCTTGCCCTTAAGGGTACAGTGTGCGATGCAGCAGTACGTTCGACCCTACTGTACGGTTGTGAAACCTGGCCGCTTAAAGCAGCGAACCTGAGGGGGCTAGTTACGTTCGACCACCGGTGCCTTCGTAATTTAGCTCACATCTGGTGGGAACACCGCGTGAGCAACGAGCGTGTCCGACGCCTTGTTTAAGGCACAGGAAAAGGAACTGAACCGCTCAGCACCGTTATTTCACGCACCAGGCTCCGATGGCTCGGCCACGTGTTACGCATGCCAGCCCACCGACTCCCGCGACGTGGGTTGTTTGCGCGCCGTGGGTGTGGATGGAAGAAGAGGAGGGTGGCCAAGCGATGACTTGGTCGAGAGGAATGAAGGCCCATCACTTCTGAGCTGACCTCGGTTGGAGCGTCTCGGCTACCTGGTTGGGGTCCGAAAGACGATGAACACGTTTGGTTGGACACACTTGCTGATATGGCTAGGAGCCGACCTCAGTGGTGTTCGTGCTGTGAGTTTGTTTGTCCCACCCCAGCCTCCCTCCAACCACGATCTCATTATTTAGCCTTATATAATTTTGCATAGTATTTTTTTGATGCATAGTAGCCGGCTGGTAGCTTACCGGAACGATGCCCATCCGTCACCGGTAGCTCAGCCGGCTTGCCCCAGTTGAATTTTTTTCTCTACTTTTTCCTGTGTATTGCGACACAGTAGCTGAGGTGTTCCCCACCTATAGCTAACGTGTATGATGATGATATGATGATGTGCGTTGTCTTCATCTCGCTGCATTTGATTATCACCAACATGTCGTGCATCGATTTTTCACTAACGGAAACTACTTACCCACGGGAGTCTTTCTCGAGCCCGGGTATTGGTGTGATTTTAGTTACACCCGGGTGTTCCAGATGCACCTCATGAGTACTCGCTATCCATCAGCAAAACTAATAGAGATTGAGGCTCCCGGACAGCCCCAGTTTCCTTCAGGACTCTATGCGCTTTGCAACAAATCACGGCGAGGCCTCAAAAAATCTGTCCACTATTTGAACGTCCACTGGTTGGTGATCACTAATACTCCGACTCAGGTCGATATTGCCGTATTAAAACTTGTGAGCACACGTGAAACGCATGCATTTTTAACTTGTGCATTTTTTAAATCGTGATATTACGCGCTATTTGAGCACGCCTGAGAATATGCGTGAAATTTTAGTTTTCGCTCAAAAATGAAAAGCTATCTTTGGAATGATTTACGCTATCCTGTGTCTAATGTTGCTTGGTCGTCTTGGGCTCATGCCAGCTTGTCGCCCATTAGACACCATGATGACGCGATGCGAGCGCCTGTGTTACACGGCTTTCCACTTTGAAATTGCCTATGAGGCAGTGTTCCGACTTCGATGGGCCACCGAGTTGAGGATCCGTCGCAATGTGTGCTTATAATCTTTATAGCTAGCCATGCAAACAGGTCGTTGTATTCGTCTTTATCAGCCTCCGGGCTGTAGCCAGTGCTGGCATATATCGGAGGAGTAAATGTTCCTTACGTTTTGTCGCTATTTATTAAACACATCGTCATCATCCATCCTCCTCCTCATCCCCATCATCCCCATCATATCATCCTCATTCTATCATCTTCATCCTTCTCATCATCTTCCATCATCCTCATCAGTCATCATCAACAGCAGTACATCAGCCATTTGAACTGATGCTTCGCTGCCATACAACCATGATGACCTATGAAATGAAGAATACTAAAAGGGGAGAAGGGGGACTTACCTTAAAATCTTAATGCCTTAAGCAAACATTCTGGGTCAAGGCGCCTCCACCTTGTGTAGAAAACATACCGTCACAAACAGCTGGCTAGGGTGCAAAGATAAGGCGGCATTGGCGACACAGCTCCCTTGCGGCTTTCACTGCCACGCGTCATAATCAGCCATTACCCCGCAGATAACTCAGCACCAAACACACTTTAAACAAGCAATCCGATTAGGAGACGGCAGCAGACGCGCCACTGGTGTCTACTGCGAGCCATGTCCTGTAAAGACTCGAGCCAAGCGCAAGGCGAGTCACGTGGACTCCAGCCCGGAAGGCGAGACGGACCAACGGCACCCAGTTTGGTCGTCAGTGACTTCATTTCCCGTTGCCAAGTCAACTTCTGTCCGCCTTGCGCCACCATACATTTGGCATACTGACCAAGGCCCTCCTAAGTAAGCGATGACCAGGCACACGTAGCATGTGCTCGAGCCAACGCAACATATTCAGTGCTGTTGTTCTAGGGAGCTAGCATGATTATCACTACCTAGTAATCGCCTGTGCGCCCATCGTCCCTGATGTAGCTGCCAAGATAAGTGAATTGATTAACCACCTCTAGCTCCACGTTAGCAAGTGTCAAGGGGTCATCAAGTGGCTGGTGGTCCTGCAACAACATTTTGCACTTTGAAGGTGCGAAGTGCATACCAAACAATACGACTACGCTAAACAGGCTATTCAGGGTTGATTGTGCCGCCGCTACATCTTCGAAAAGCAGGACAATATCGTCCTCATAAACATGGTCAACTAATCTTTCACCAGGCAGCACTTCAACGCCTACATCGCGAGATTCCGAAAGGGAACACTTCATGACAGAATCCACGACGAAATTGAACAAAAATGAGGAAATCGGACAACCCCGATGAACGCCACTTGTGATCGGAAAGCCATCCGATAGGCCACCGTAGAGCCTGACGCGGCCTGTAGTGTTCGAGTATGGAGCACGAAGGATGTTCACATATTTCATGCGAACACCTTTCCGCGCAGGTATTTCGAAATTGAACGCACTCTTGAAATCGAGAAACAGCT